GCGCGTTGCTGCCGCGTGACGTCAAGCTGTCCCGCGTTGCGCGCGCCTCCGGGGCCAGTAGAGCTGCTGTCCGCAGATAGCGCGAGTGTCGATCCTCGCGTGTCGCAGCTCCCTTCCTCCTGGGACTCCAGCTGGCTCTCCCTCTCTCGTTCTCCGCGGCTTCACGGGCACGGCGAGCGAGCACCTATTCCAACTCCGGCAGAGTAGATGTAAAACAAAAGAAAGTAATAAAATAATCTATCGAAATTTCAATTAGGCCCTTGCGGTCGGTGGATCCTGCCTGGACTTTGCAATGGCCTTTTAGGCCCGTATCGCGTTTCGGCGTGATTTTCCGCCGAGGACAAGACGGGTGAAATCCACCACGTCACAATATAAATAGTTCATTTAAATAAAATCTATATTAAAAAATGAAAACTTTATTTAAAAACTTCGATGATTCTTATTGATAATAATTGTTATTGAAAGTATTTTTGAATTTGAATTTTCTTTTTTGATTGATCAATTAATTATTAATAGATTAACAATAATTTCATTTAAAGAATTGAATTTAATATAATAATAATTCTTTTATTACTTATTTAATGTCATTTGTTATTTTAATTTAGCTTTGCAAATTTTTATTATTTGTTTATTTAAGTTAAAGTAGGCTAAATTATTTATTTTATAATTTTCGAAGTACATCGAAATATAATCTTGAGTTTACACTCCCGCCTTATACCCCTCCACTTTTTCGGTGCATACAGAACACTAATCTCCTCTTATTTTGGCAAGCTATTTGTATACATAGAGTTCGTGTTCCTTGTGTAGTCTCCATGCCACTGAACATCACTGAACTCTAACCAGAGATGAGTAGGGAGATTGCCAATGAACCTGTTTTTGGTGGTCTCGATTTTTCTCTGGTTTCGGCGCGCCACCTTAGCGGAGGGCCCTCGAAGCAGTTCCACGTTTTTCATTAGTCGTGTATATATAGTAATACTACGCGTGATAATCTGGAGCTGTGTTTTGGCGCGTCGACGCGCCACCTGAACGAGACTCTCGAACTAGTTCCACGTTTTTGAATGTCCGAATGAATTCGTGTCAAAAACGTGGAACTAGTTCGAGAGTCTCGTTCAGGTGGCGCGTCGACGCGCCACCTGAACGAGACTCTCGAACTAGTTCCACGTTTTTGAATGTCCGAATGAATTCGTGTGTTCCTCGAGATCCACGATTTTAAACCGGGTGACACTCAAATAGGGAGACTTGAATCCACCCTTTCCTACTGCATATTACATAAACCGTAGTAATGAGGTAGTAATTTTTGCCGATGTTAATTCCCTTAATATCCATATGAAGCTTTGTAAATAATAGAGTGAGCAAATAAAACTTTAAACAAACCCTCGAACGTGGGTAACTACAGAAATATAAAGTTTCCAATTTCTACAGCACAATGGTTTGGTAGCGTACGTGCTTGGTGCTGGATTAACGTCCGAGAGTCTCGAGTTCGGCACTCACGTCTCATCCCTCTTTTTTTTCTTCTTAATTATCAACTATGCTTATTGCTTCACCGCGGTTTCGGCGACTTTTGCGTCGAGGTTGATTCCAGGAAAAACGATACCCTTCCCATGCAGGTTTCGGACGGCAGGCGATTCGACCTCGAACGTTATCTTGCAGTGGTCGCGCGTCAGCCTCCTCATCCCACTGAGCATCCCCTATCCCCCGATTCGTCAGCTTCCTCATCCCACTGAGAAGCTTCGCGAATTCCCCATCCCCCAGCCTCGTGCGAGAGCACCGGCGAGTTCAAAGAATTATCCATGTATCGGTTGTTCGAATGCGCAATACCGAACGTTATCTCGCAGAGTCGTGCGTCGAGAATGCGGACCCTCATCCCCCCGAGGTGTCAAATTACTCGTAAGCGCGCGCGACGCAACTTCGTCGTCGTCGTCGGAGGGCTAAGGAATATTCCGGAAGATGCATGAACCTTGACATCGAATCTCTGTAGGCGA